TACTCTCTCTGCTCTTTCTCTCTCTCTCTCTCGCTCTTTCTCTCTCTCTCTCTCTCGCCTTTCTCTCTCTCTCTCGCTCTTCTCTCTCTCTCTCTCTCTCTCTCGTGTACTCTCTCTCACTCTATCTTTATTTCTTTTTACAACTATATTTCCTTGAATCATCTCCCAGTTCCTATGTATTCCTTTTTCTTTCTTTCAAAAATTCAGTTTCTTTGAACCATCGCCCAGTACCCGTGCTCTATATTATCGATATTGTCACTGAATTACAAAACACTAAATATAACTGAGATGTATTATTAATCACCTTTACTGGTTCATAGGATCGTGTGTGATTAAGATGAGGGAGGGAGATAATATGCGATAATGATCGTCGTAAGTCATTAACAACAAGGAAAGAGAGAGTAGTGAAAGAAAAAAAATCTTGACGCTTAATTAATGTTTGTGAGAGAGATAGAGGGAGGGAGAGGGAGAAAAAAAAAGAAATAGAGAGAGAGAGAGAACCGGATAAACAGACAGGCAGATAAACAAAGAGGAAGTCAGACAAAGACAGAGCAAGAAAAAGAAAGGAAGAGAGAGCCTGTATTAAAAAAAAAGTAAATGTTCTTTATGAGAAAAGCAATTTCAGACGACATTTATCTCCAAATAAATTGGTCACTAGACAAGGAATTTTTGTGGTGACCAATACAAATGGAACACAATACGCAAAAAAAAAAAAAAAAAAAAAAAAAAAAAAAAAAAAAAAAAACAAAGATATGTCTTCTAAATTGTCCGACTTTAGATAAAAAAAAAAGAAAAAAGAAAGAAGATACACATGGTCCTACGTTGATCCGACTGTCCATAACCCTCCTCCAAAAAAAAAAAAAAAAAAAAAAAAAAAAAAAAACGCATTTTCTAACAAACTTCGTAATAAGGCAGACTCAACTTACTTGTTACCGGGGATATTCCATGCATAATTTCCATCAGTGTATGCAAATCCATTGTCCTAATGAGACAAACACGAGGTTCCTTTTTTTCTCTCGAAGAAAATATATCGTAGAGGATGAAAATAAACGTCAGATGAACAAGAAAAGCGACATTTTCTTTTTCTTTTCTTTTTCTTTTTCTTTTTCTTTTTTCTATTAAGGTGGAACTTTGTAAAAATAGGAAAGAGGTTTCCCATGTAAAGACTGGGACGTTTTATTATTATTATCACTGCTTTCATTAGGCTCATCATCAACACTAATATAAATATTGATAAACGCATTATCAGAATTATCATTATCAGAATTATTTCATAATAATGGTGATGATGGTAATGATTAATGGCAATGTCGACAATAATAATAATAAGAGGAATAACCCAGCAATAGTATACATACTTTTGATGATAATGATATCATAATACAATGATAAATTGATTTCTGCCATAGTTATCTAATTATCCTTATCATCAAACTTTTCATCATCTCTGACATCATCATTGCCTTCATTCTCAGCACAATCTTATCTCCATAATATTACCAGCATTAATGATATACACAAAATTGTTATTTTTTTACTGTTCTCCAGAGGTTTTTAAGTATTCCTCTTCAACGAGAAGAGATGCTAAAACATTTTTAATTAGGGCTTGCGCAGTTTTAGTGAGTGAGAGAGAGAGAGAGAGAGAGAGAGAGAGAAGAGAGAGAAGAAGAGAAGAGAAGAGAAGAAGAGAGAGAGGAGAGAGAGAGAGAGAAAGAGAAAGATAGAAGAAAGAGAAAGAGATAAATAGAAGAGAAGAGAGTTGGAGACTGACGTTGAGAAAAAATAAATAACCAGAAAAAATATAAGCCTCAAAATCACCATTACAGAAATACAAAACACACACACACACACACACACACACACACACACACACACACACACACACACACACACACACACACCACACACACACACACACACACACACACACACACACACACACACACGCATACACACACACACACACACACACACACACACACAAGACACCAAGACCACCTCCCCCCCTTTCCTCTCCCAGCAGGTCAGCAGAAAGCACACAGTCTGCTGGGTATGTCACCGCATAGTTAACGAACATGAGTGCTGCACATACCCAAGTCAGCAGCATTTCCATTTATATTGAAATCATGCTGCCAGGGTTTACCAAACGGGGGTTCTGTGTATGGAGAGATTTGGACTAAAACGACGGCTTTCTGTGGTGTTGTGCGGATGCGGGTTGTGGATGTGGGTGAGGGTCGGGGTGAGGTGTGGGTTGGTATGGGAGTTAGGGCGAGTGCTGGTGTCGGTGTGGGTTACGGTGTTGGTGCGGATGCGGATGTGGGTGAAGGGTGGGTATGTGCTGTGGTGGGATTAGGGTGACGTGCTGGGGTTGCTGCGCGTGGTTGTTGGTGTGGGTGTGGTGTGGTGCGGTGTGGGTGAGGGTGAGGGTGGGTATGGGAGTTAGGGTGAATGCTGGGGTTGCTTGGTTGTTGGTGTGGGTTGGGTGCGGGTGTGGGTGAGGGTGAGGGTGAGGGGTCGTGGGTGCTGTGTGGGATTGTAGGGCGAGTGCTGTGTCGAGTGGGTACGGTTGTTGGTGTGGGTGCGGATGCGGAATGCGAGTGTGGGTGAGGGTGTGGTGGGTAGGGAGTTAAGGCGAGTGCTGGGTTGCGTGTGTTGTTGATGTGGGTGCGGATGCGGGTGGGGTGTGGGTGAGTGGTGTGGTGGGTATTGGGAGTTAGGTGCGAGTGCTGGGGCTTGGGGTGGTTTGGTGTGGTGTGCGGCATTGCGGCGTGCGGGTGTGGTGATGGGTGTGCGGTGGGCTTATGGCCAGTAGGGCGGAGGTGCTGCGGGTTGCGTGGTTTGTCTTGCGTGTATAGAGGTGCGCATGCGCGGTTGCGGGTGTGGGTGAGGGTGTGGGTGGTATGGGATGTATAGGGCGAAGTGCCTGGGGTTGCGTGCGTGTTGGTCGTGGGTGCGGAATGCGGTCGTTGGGTGTGGGTGAGGGTGAGGTGGGTATGGGAGTTAGGTGAGGGGCTGGGGTTGCTTTGGTTGTTGTGTGGTGCGGATGCGGGTGTGGGTGTGGTGAGGTGTGGGTGGTATGGGAGTTAGGGTGAGTGCTGGGGTTGCTTGGTTGTTGTGTGGGTGGGGCATGCGGATGCGGGTGTGGGTGAGGGTGTGGGTGGGTGTGGGAGTTAGGGTGAATGCTGGGGTTGCTTGGTTGTTGTTGCGGATGCGCGGGATGGTTTATATCTTCTACGGTGAGGGTGTGGGTGGGATATGGGAGTTAGGCGTGAATGCTGGGGTTGCGTGGTGTTGGTCTGGGTTGTGTTGAGGGTGTGGGTGGGTGTGGGGGTTAGGGTGAATGCTGGGTTGCGTGGTTGTTGGTGTGGTGCGGATGAGGGTGTGCGGTGTGGGTGAGGGTATTTCGGGGAGTGGTTTGGGCTGTTGCGTGGGATGTGGATTTAGGCGAGTGCTGGTGTCGGTGGGCACGGGTGTTCGGGTGGTTGTTGGGCGGGTGTGGGTGTGGGTGCTTGTGGGGGTTAAGGTTTGGGTGTGGGTGGGTGTGGGATTTAGGTCGAGTGCTGGTGTCGGTGTGGGTACGGGTGTTCGGGTGGTTGTTGGTGCGGGTGTGGGTGTGGGGTACTTGTGGGGGTTAAGGTTTGGCTGTGGGTGGGTGTGGGATTTAGGGTACGGTGCTGGTGTGGTCGGTGTGGGTACGGGTGTTCGGGTGGTTGTTGGTGTGGGTGCGGATGCGGGGTGGGTACTTGCGGGAGTTAAGGTTTGGTGCTGTGGTTGTGGGTGGTTGTGGAATTAGGCTGAGTGCTGGTGTCGGTGTTGGGTGGTTGTTGGTGCGGATGCAGATGTGTGTACTTGTGGGGGTTAAGGTTTGTGTGTGGGTGGGGTGTGGTGCTGTCGCGGTCGTGGCTGCCTGTGGGAATTAGGGTGAGCGCTGGTGTCGGTGTGGGTGCGGGTGTTGGGTGTTTGTTGGGGATTTAGGTAAAAAAATAGTAAAAAATATAATAATAATGATATTTTGATGATCGGCATAATGGTGAGAATAATAGACAAAAAGTAATGAAAATAATAATCAAAAGTAACAATGTGAAATGATGATAATACAATAATGATGATAATAACAATAATGATGATAATAATGATGATAATAACATAATTGAATGATTAATAACAATAATGATGATAATAACAATAATGATGATTAACAATAATGATAATAATAATAATATTAATAATACCAATAAGGATATTGATAATGATAATGATGATAATTATTAATAATAGTAATGATAAGTAACAATAAAATTACCACAAATAACAATATTATATTATTATATATATATTATATATATTATATATATATATATATAATATATATATATATATATATTTGTATATGTGTGTGTGTGTGTGTGTGTGTGTGTGTGTGTGTGTGTGTGTGTGTGTGTGTGTGTGTGTGTGTATGTGTATGTTGTGTTTGTATGTATGTGTGTGGATTCTTACATGCATTCTATCAGCCACTGACCCAAATTCATAAATTTTCAAAAATGAGCCACAAACAAAAAACAAGAAACCCTCCCCCCCCCCTCCAACACGTCCCCTGCACTTATACACTACCCCCCCCCCCTCCAAAAAAAAAATTCGTCGTGTCACTCGCCCCCCCCTTCACCCCCCCACCCCTCTCCGACAGGACAGCGTGCAGCCAGGAAATCCAGGGCGGCAGGTGCTGTCCCCTCAGGGCTTTTCCCTAACAGTAAATGCTTCATATTCATGTAAACACGAAGGACACACGTACCCACACGGTGTCCCCAGAGCTCGTCCGATATAAACCAGCTGGAACAAGACTCAATTGCGCCGCCATGAATAACTGGCTGAGAGATTTCGCTCCTCTTGAACAAAAAAAGGTGAAGGGGGTGACAGTTGAGGGAGATGGGGGGAGAGAGGGAGAAGGAGGGGTGGGAGGGAGGGAGGGAGATGGAGAGTTTTTTTTTTTATCCTTCCATTAGATTAAAAGGTAAATAAATAGACAGAGATAGATAAACAGGTAGGTAAACAGGTAGATAGATATATTGATAGATTAACTTAGATAGATTTAAATAGATAGATAGACTGACTGACTAATAGATAGATTTAGATAGATAGATGATAGATAGATAAATGATAATAAATAGATAGAACTAATGAATAAATAAACAAACAAATAAACAGATAGATGAAACAAATGATAGGATAAACTTTATTTTAGGTAATCAATAACTTAATTTTTCCCCCTCAACATCGTCAACATATAATTCACCTTTTACGAAAGACCAAACGACCAGATCATTTATTTGCTGCTATTTCGAAAAGCAGAGGATGCGCACTTAGTAATACGGAAGATGAACGTTTCGTATATTTCGATGGGATGAACGGACTTCCACATGACCTGAGACTGCAGATCTCTTAAGATCGTGGCTGCTTCCGCCTCAGTTTTGGCCGAGACTTATGCTTCCCTGTGAAGGTTTTCGAAATCATGCGTGTTTTTATGTATGGGTATTTTTTCTTATCTGTTGTTATATTTATATGTATATATATTATAATATTATATCATATTATATATTATATATATATATATATATTATATATATATATATACTATATATACACACCACACACCACACACCACACACACCCACACACACACACACACACACACACACACACACACATATTATATATATATATATTATATATTTATATATATATATATATATATATATATATATATAAGCTTCCTAGAATTTTATTATATCTGTCTTTCTATCTAACATTTTTATTTCTGTCTTTCTGTGTGTATATGTGTGTGTGCGTATGTGTGTATGTGTATGTGTATGTGTGTGTGTGGTGTGTGTGTGTGTTGTGTGTGTGTGTGTGTGTGTGTGTGTGTGTGTGTGTGTGTGTGTGTGTGTGTGTGTGTGTGTGTGTGTGTGTGTGTGATGTGTGTGCAGAATAGACAAAATATCCAATACCTTTATAATCAAATATCAACCAATTATCACACAAAGACATTAATTAAAGACCTGCCCCTCGTCCGAGACTGAAAGTGTTCGACGAGAAGAACCAACACTGTGTCGGACTAACGGAAAGCGGGAAGAACGAGAAGGAACGGTTACGAGGATTTCCGAGAAAGTCTTAGAAAACTTGCAACACAGACATAAATGACCTAATCTCATCCACAGATTGCTTTGGAGAAAAAAAAAAAAAAAAAAAAAAAAACACCTGCGACCGCATAGTATCTGCTTGGGCTTAGAAGTGAAACAACCAATAACACCAAAACGTTGAAAGTCCAATTGCTTTTTCAGCCTAGTTAAGGAAACTTTGGGGCCGTTGTGGCTGTTAAGGCTTTCCATAGAGAAGAATCATAGTTCTACTTTATCAGATTGGTCGGCAGGAGTTGCAATACGTGCTATGATGAAAACTGGAATTTCAAGAAGATCCCTTGCACCTCGAGTCAAAAAGAAAGGTGAACCGAAAGCCAACGGCGGTACGAGGGTCCAACTTTCTTTGAGACGTTAATGACTGGCGATGTGTACCGGGATATAATCACACACCTCGCTGCATTCCTTGATGGGGAGGGATGGCACTCCTCGTTTCAGCATGACGGCGCCACATGTCCTTCATGGAGGGGAAAACTTTGGCCTTCCTGCAGCAGGGATGTTTTTGTCTCGACGAATATCTCATTTTCGAAAAAGGCACACGACAACACACAGCACACACACACACACACACACACACACACACACACACACACACACACACACACACACACACACACACACACAACACGCACACACACAACACACACACACACGCACACACACACACACACAAAACTAGTGGCCTTCAAAATCCCAAGAAATTATTATTATTTTTTTCTATATATAAGAAGGAACTTTAATTATAAGACTAATCCTTCCAGGTTAAAAATACTGAAGATTAACATTGAAACCACAACAACCCCCACATAAAATCCCCGTTCACATGGTAGAGAGGGCCAAGTCAAGGTATAATATTCACGTGGATTTGATGCATGAAGGGGGGGGGGAACTTTTAATCATGAAATCGATTACGTTTTGAATATATGCTATGAATGTAATCAGCCATTGCTGCTTATTTATTGTATATGTCTTTGCATTTAATTCGTTAGATGTGCATGTACAGCTTATGAGATATATCAGTATCACTCTACCTACCTACCTACCGCCCTACATACCTATATCTATATCTATATCTATACACAGGCTTTTTTGTTATGCAAGAACTAAGCGAAATGGGCACAACAAATGGAAAGGCAGAGAGGGAAAGAAAGGAGCGAATGCCAAAGAGGGAGAAATAGAGACAGAAAGATGGACAGATAGACAGAAACGAAGGAAAAAATAAAATTGTTTCTCTGAATTAAAATGCAAAGGTAGAAAAATCCAATAATTTGTTACAAGAGAGAGATGGGGTTATAGCTTAAGAGGGGGGGGAGGGGGTAGGGGGAGCAGATGATATGTCCTCTATTCACTCGTATTCCAAGGCAGAGAATCACCCGCTTCTTGGTAATCATAATTAGCAAAGGATACACTCGTATGATAGACTCAGAGGCCATACTCATAACTCTCCATCAAATGATACTCGTTCAATGATATTTTCGAAGACTCATGATCCTTGCTGAGTTTTTTTTTCTCTCTTCTTCGTATTCATTTTTTTTTTTTTTTTTTTTTTTTACGTGTGACTAATCTCTCTT